TGATCGATCTCCTCCACGATGGCCCCAAGATGGCCCTCGAGGCTCCCAATGGGTCCCCCAAGAGGTGCCGAGGAGGCCCCAAGGGGCCCCCCAAGAGGCTCCCAAGATGCCCCAAGAGGCCCGAAGAGGCCCCCCGGAGGCACACAAAGCGCCCCGAGAGGCCAGGCCGGCATCATTCAATGTTGCTCGCCGCAGGTTGGCCTCCTGGGGGGGGGGGGACCCTAAGTCAGGAGCCCCCCCTCGTTCCATCTATCTCCTCCAAGATGGTTCCAAGTTGGCCCCCGAGGCTCCCAAGGGTGCCCCAAGAAGGCCACAAGAAGGCCACAAGAAGTGCCCGGAGGGCCCCAAGAGGCCCCTACGAGGCCCCCAAGATGCCCCCAAGAGGCTCCCAAGAGACCCCCAAGAGGCCCCAAGAGGCCCCCCGAGGCACCCACGACGCCCCTAAGAAGGTTTGGCGAGAATGCCAAAATCACTGATGCTAGTACGGTCTTGGCCTCATGTTCGCCTCCTGTGGGGGAGGGTAATTTCCTATGGCCCCTCATTTGATCGATCTCCTTCAGGATGGCCCCAAGATTGACCTCTATGCTCCCAAGAGTGCCCCAAGAGGCGCCCAGGAGGCCCCAAGAGGCCCTCCAGAGGCCCCCGAGATGCCTCCAAGAGGCCCCTACGAAACTCCCAAGAGATCCCCAAGAGGCCCAAAGAGGCTCCCCCCCAGGCACCCAAGACGCTTCAAGAGCCCCCCGGGACCGCAACGAAGCTCCCAAGAGGCCCCAACAGGGATACAAGAAGCTCTCAAGAGACATCCGAAGAAACAACGAGAGGCATCCAAGAGGCCTCTGGCCTTTCTGCTCGCCCTCCTCCTCCTCCTGCTCCTCCTCCTCCTCCTCTTCCTCCTCCTCCTCCTGCTCCATCCTCCCTTCACTCCCCCTCCTCCTCCACCTCCTCCACTAGTTCCTCATATATCTTCCCCTCTTGGGGTATGACGGCTCCCAAAACTTTATTCCACACTGTGTTCCCCCACAGGCCTGATCAAGGCAACTTGCATGGGAATTGTTTCTGTATGGGCTAGTTGGGTTACGCGAAGCGTCTATGATATGTGAAGCATTATTTCCGTCAGGCTGCTGCGGAGTCCCGGGCACGAAAGTGTTACGGGAGAGAAGACATTGGATGACGGTCCTCTTCGAACGTGCTTGCACTTAAAAGGTTGTCATTCCTTTTCTAAGGAACTGGGCCTGCGGGCCGGTGTGGTGGTTGGGAATTGTTTCTGTATGGGCTAGTTGGGTTACGCGAAGCGTCTATGATATGTGAAGCATTATTTCCGTCAGGCTGCTGCGGAGTCCCGGGCACGAAAGTGTTACGGGAGAGAAGACATTGGATGACGGTCCTCTTCGAACGTGCTTGCACTTAAAAGGTTGTCATTCCTTTTCTAAGGAACTGGGCCTGCGGGCCGGTGTGGTGGTTCCGTGCTCGCCGTCGCCGCCCCGTCGCCGCCCGTCGTCTGGGCCTGCGGGCCAATCTGGCAGCTCCGTCCTCGCAGTCGCAGCCCTGTGGCCGCCTCGCAAAGATTCTCCTTTTTAAAAAAACGAATTAGGATCGACCGCCCCTTGCCAGGAGTTTATCGACTCTCAACGGGATAACACAATGTACGTATGATTCTGCCACCATCGTCCATTCCAAATATGAATTCGCACCATCCCAGGGAGTTGCCGTATTCGACCCCCTCTCATCCCTGTCAGAGTGTACCAGTCTCCAAAGCACAAACATTGCAACACATGGGACCAAGTCGACACGCACGCGTCGTCGCGCGCGCATGTCAACATACCTCAAACACCTCAGCTTTAGAAAAAGTTTCAAAATCGAACTTCCCGCAAACAGATTCGACACACAATGGATTTACAACATGATTGTTACAAAATGCGCGCTCTTGCGAATTCGCACGTACAAGCTGCAGTTGTTCAGCATCTTCGTCACATGCGACGCGCGCATGTGGAAATCATTCGAGCGCCCTTGCCTGCGTGCTGGGGGAACGCGATCCATGTCAAATATTACAGTGCGGGCCACTCGCGCACGTTGGCCGCGCGCGCATGTCAGAATCCCCCCAAAATCCCCACCGCCGACACGTGGACACCATCATCGTCATCGGCGTCATCAGCATCGTCTCCGTCATCGGCCTTGCCGTCGTCATTCTCATCATTACCAGCATCATCGTCATCATCATCACCATCATCGTCGTCATTATCAACATTGTTACCAACATCGCAAATATCATCATCGCCAATGTAAACGTTGACATACTACCGCGCCCGCCCGAATCAACGACTCGCACTTAGTTAACCGCGCGCCAGCGCGGCCTGCGAAACGCGCTGGGAAGCCCTTAACGGCGAGCGTCACCACGCCCGCGTCGGTCGCGACAGACCACTTGGCCGCTGTGCGCGCGAGCCTGCGCGCGCCAACGCGGCCGCAGCGATGCGCCAGCCAACGCCAAACACTCATCGCAATCGCCGCCGCATGAGTTCTGCAAACCTAGACGCGGGTGGGAGAGTGGGATAATTTTGCGAGCAACGGAGTTGACAGTTCACTAGTGAGCATTACCTGGTGGCACTGCATATACTGCGCTGCGTAGATTGCCTGCAAGAGAAATAGGACTTCCCCCCTTCCACCCCCCCAGATTTAACGGGACCCCACCCGCGCATTGCAATTTACCTGCGATTCAGCATCATCGTCCATCCTCAATATGAGTTCACACTATCTCAGGCAGGCTAGTACCCCCCCCATCGTTTTTCAAAAAAAAAAAAAAAACAATGCGCGCACACTCGTTTATTAAAAACCAATGTGCAAGAATCCCTTGCAAAAACAGGGACGAAGTGGACAAGCGCGCGGCGTCGCGCGCGCATGCCGAAATCCGTCCAAAACCTAAGGTTTCGTAAAATGTTTCAAAATCGAGCGTCCCGAAAACAATAAAACACAATATTTTGCAACAGTAATATGTGTAAAACATTTGTATACCTTATAACATTAGAACATGGGCTTTTCAAAATTTCATCAAATGCTGTGCCTCTCCCGCGCGCGTGTCGGAATCGCAA